CACAGGGAATATTCACTGCAGGGAAATGCTAAGAATGCTGACTGCTGGCATTAGGACTTCTTGACCCCAGTCCTGAGAAGCCTTTGTGGAGCCCTGTGTCTGTGGGGTGACTGTCACGGGAACAGCAGGCAAGCATTGGTATGGCCAGGCCTGCAGGTGTACGAAACCTGTCCCTCAAGAATGAGTGAACCGTGTACATCAACTACGTAAAGCGCCGTCATTTTCTGACACGGGGTTTCTGTCCTTCTGGATAACCTGTGAGAAGTAATGATGGTGCAAGATTTTAAACATAGTTAGAAGATTCAGAATAACTTAAGGCTTCCTTGAAAGTGCCAGAATTTTTTTTTCATGTATCTCAATAGAGAATGGTTTTAAAAATCCATTTAGACAAAGAAATATTTCTCAAGTACCTAGTTTGTGCCATTTTCTGTGCTCAGACTGTAGTTTGTAGCACTTACTGGATATTGTAGTATGGCCTATATAGTACTTAATACATGGGAGAATCCCAGGACAGTAATGAATCTAGCAGGCAGAAATCTTCCAATATGAATTCAATTTTTAGGCCACAAGAAAGGATATTCTCACTGCTATTTTTAATCTGATTGTGTGGTTGTAAGAGAACATTGTGAATATTGCAGGAAGGTTCTGTCAGGTTTGTCAAGTGTTTTGTTATATTTTGGGGTTTTCTTCTACCCATCTTCTGAGATATCAAGTCTTCTCACAATTAAACTGGCTTTGAAATGTCTACTCGATAGCTAGTGACTGTACAAAACATGTAAATACATAAAGGATGAAAGACTGAATGAGAGGTATAAATGAGCCTGCACTATTAGTAGCTGTATCTCTGCTTTGATCAGACTTTGATCCATGAGTAACTAAGCCTGGGCAAGGAATCAATCCACCATGAAAAAATTCTGGAAATGACTGTAGGCAAAGATAGGAGATCCTTTTTCGACAATTCAAGTTATCTAAGCCTGCACCCAACACCAAATCTATTAAATATGTGAGTCTTGAAATAATATTACATCTATAAAATGATTCCAGAAGTGTATAGGTGAAAGTCTTAAGAGTTCAACACTGGACAAGGTACAGGGCCTTGTCTTGAATTCATTGTAGTGTTCGGAGAGTAATTTTTTTTTCCTCTTAATTTAGTTGAATACAACATGTAGGATATTTTCCTTAATGCATATATTAGCCAGCTTTGATTCTGATAATTTGTTTCAAAATATAGTTCTACTGAGGTGAAGGGACTAGTAGAAAACTGGTAACACCATTTTCTTGATCTGTCACCTCAACAGCGGACTGAGAACATTAAATCAGCCCTCCTGGGCAGAAAGCACAATGTTAACTGAAAGGACTTCACCGTGAGAATATTTTATGACCTAAAAGAAGTTATTAGTTCCCTTATTCTTAAGCACTGCACTGGCAGTTTAGATCAGTTACTATTTTATATATATAATATTTTTTAAAAATATTTATTTCTTTATTTTGAGAGAGAGGCAGAGAGCACGCATGTGCACTTGTGAGGGAAGAGAGGGAGGGAGAACAAGAATCCCAAAAAGGCTCCATTGACAGCAACACGTGGCTTGATCTCACAAACTGTGAGACCTTGACCAGAGCTGAAATCAAAAGTCATATGCTTAACCAACTGGGTGACCCACATGCTCCTATATATAATATTTTTAAATAAAGACTCAATGAGCTCTCTAAAGAGTCATAGGCTCTAAAGAAAATAAAAAAATAGAGTCCTTTATATTTTTCTGTGTATACAAAGGGTGACAGATGGACTTCTGATGTAATTAAATTTACCATCCCCTTATCATAGGCCCCATCTGTATTTATCTCTTTATATTAGATTATCAATCTTACATCTTGCAGGAGTATATCTGTTAACATGAAATCCTGTTCATATAACAAAACAATGACATGAGCATAAACATATTTTATCTCACATAAAAGAAATCCAGACATAGGAAGTCCAGAAGTGGTAGAGTATTGCTCATTATCCTCGGTGTTGTAATGACCATTATGCTCCACTGTCTACGTTGTTTCTTTTTATCCTCAAGGTTGTCTCATGGTCCAAGATGACCATTGACACTCTGGCCATTATATTCAGGCTCTAGGTCAGCAGAGGGAGGAAATGAAAAAGAGCAAAATCACACGGGTCCTAGCTAAGTCTGCTCTCCTTTGCAGCTATCAGCAGAGTCCCACAAAAACCCTTCTGCTCCAATTATACTGGGCTGAACATTTTGACTGGGCCACATCTACCTACAAGGAAGGCTGAGAAATAAAGTTTTACTACAGGAAAAGTGACAAGTGGAAAATTGGCTTTCCCTTAATAAGAAAAAAAAAAGAGTAAATGGGTATTTGGGAGACAACCCAGCCATCTCTGCCACAGCGACTCTATCATAGAGTGGAATATTTGGAGAGTGTCAGGGTTCTTGTGCTAACTTATGCAGAATAATTCCCATAGAGCTCATACACTCCTCCTTCTATCTATTTAATTGACATTTGTGCATCTTATTAATACAAAGTCCATGTCAAGATGAGGGTTTGTGTGAATAACCACATTTTCGGTTCACATTTCTTTTTTTTAAATGTTTATTATTTTTGAGAGACAGAGACAGAGACAGAGCACAAGCAGGGAAATGCAGAGAGAGAATCCAAAGAAGGCTCCAGGCTCCATGCTGTCAACACATAGTCCAATGCGGGGTCCAAACTCACGAGCAGTGAGATCATGACCTGAACTGAAGTCGGATGTTCAACCAAACGAGCCACCCAGGAGCCCTCAAGCCAGTTTTCTTTATCTGACTGGCATCATGGGTCTTTCTGTCTCTAAAACCATCAGAAATATACATAAATCTTCATAAAGCTGAGCATATTAACAAAGCAAAAACAAATCCTTTCCAAAAATCAAGAACAATATCAGATCTGTTTTAAAAGATATATTTCAGTGGATAAGCATCTTTCCTTTTACAGCACTTCATACAGTGTGAATTACTTATAAAAACTGATAAAAACACTTTTTTAGAATAATCTTCCAGCTGCCTTTTTAAAAGGGCTGGCGTTTGTCATTGTGATTTGTGTGAACGCTATACAACTGATAAACAGAAATTGACAAACTTACTAGGTTTTTCTGAAAATGGAGAACTTGACTGAACAAGAATATATGCTAGCCTCCATAAGTGTAATTTTTTTAGCCACTGGCTTAGAGCAAGCCAATTTTATTATGAAGCACCTGATGTTACCACTGAGATATAGTTATTCTGGATGACACAATAAGCCTCTGGATTCCTCCTGTCCACTCCTCAGTCCTTCTACTGTGTTGTAGAAAACAAACAGATCAAGGCATCTCCTGCTACATAGTGGAAGGCACGTGTTAGGGAAGAAATTAATTCTCTCAATGGTATATCTACCCCATGACTGGCCCACAGTAATTCTCTAAATTATGTAAAGTTTCTCCTTAATGCTTTTCTTGTCTCTTTTCTCCCCCGCTCTGTTCATGAAGCATTGACTGAGCAACTATAAGACATTAGGGACAAGTTTGGGGGCTAGAGCTACAGGAACATGACTGTGCTTTCACCGAGTTCACGACCTACACTTCCCATACCTTTGCTCAGGGATATGGCCACCACTTGTCCCCAACGTGTCATGGTCCCAACTGGTTACTCTCTGCCTCACCTGAGTCTGGCCCTGTGGACATTGCCCTGTTTCCTGTCCTGCTCCTTACCTTCCCACACAGACTGCTGGATATTTCTTCCACTTACATTTGGATCTTTTAATTTTTACCTTAAATGGAAGATACTGGTGACAATTTCAGACCATGTGTGAGAGTGTGGTATAGGGATGCCTGAGTAGCTCACTTGGTTGAGCCTCCAACTCTTGATTAGCTCATGTCATGGGCTCACATCATGATCTCCTGGTTTTGTGGGTTCGAGCCCCACGTCAGGCTCCATGCTGACCCTGTGGGACCTGCTTGGGATTCTCTCTTTCTCCCTCTCTCTACCCCTCCCCACTCACACTGTTGTTGTCTCCCTCAAATAAATAAACTTAAAATTTTTGTTTTTAAAAGAGTGGGGTATGGAGTTATGAGATTTTTTTAAATAACCAAGCACTTTGTAGTACATGCATTTTTCTCTAAAGTTATAGCTGAAATTTATCTGATCTTACGATGCATGTTTGTAACAACTAAAAGATGTTGCAATTTTAGATAATGTTTTAGTGTCTAGATTAACTCATTTAATAGAAATTTTACTAAAGTGATTATCCTTTTGATAGAAAACTCTCTGGAACTAATTATTGGGGGGCAATTTATGAAGAATCACTGAGACCATGTAAACAGTTAGATTTCTAGGTAAAGCCAAGCTCCACACCCCCAAAAACTGCAACATAAATTGCCAAGTTTTATCAGTTTATTCATTCATATATGAATACGACAAATATTTATGAAATGTGGACTGACTCTATTTTAAGTGATTAACAAAATAAGTGTAGCCTCTGTTCTCACAAAATTTACAGTGTAGAGAGTGATAATAATAAATTAAATACAACAAACAAGATTATTTCATGCTCAGAAAAAAGTATTATAAAGTATGAACAGGACGTTGTGAAAAATAACAGAATCCTGAACAAAAGGATCAGGAAGGTCTCTATAAAGTTTAAAATTAAGATGAAACCCAAGTTTTAAAAGGAGCCATATTAGAGAATCCCAAAGTTTGGTGTTTCAGACTGCATTATCCAGAAAGGTATGCCATTTTTAAATTGACTTTGACTCCATTGAGGTATCTGGCATATGAACTTGATCATGCCCAATGTCAGCCAAAGTTCTGATTTCTATCCAGAGATACCGTTTCTTAAGAAGACTTTTTCTCCAAAGCTCACAAAGCCTATGGCACTATTTGGGGTGTTCCCTTTGGCATATGGCAAAATGCTGCTAATTGCACAGTTGTTCGGTGTGTATGCTAACCATGGATATCTTTCTCTTCCTCTTGTATCACCAGGCCTCCGGAACCTGTTTACAGCACTGTGAACAAACTGTGTGATAAGCCTGCTTCTCCCAGGCACTATTCCCCTGTTGAGTGTGACAAAAGCTTCCTTCTCTCAGCTCCCTACCCCCACTACCACCTAGGCCTGCTCCCTGACTCTGAGATGACCAGGTACTGCATGCGCTTCCTCACTTCATCTTCTCTAATTGCATGTGCTTCTACAAGGATGAATGGGTAGAATCCACCTCTGCTCACTTCTCTTGCACTTGACATCTTTCTCGGTGGAGAGATGTTCTGATGCTTTAGTGCAATGGGAGAAATTAAGAACATTGCCTTTTCCCCCCTGGTGTGATCACAGAGCACTCAGACATGATCACATGATTTTCTAAATGTTCTTGGTTCCCATGCATTTTTAATAAGGTATTAACTATATTTATTCCAGAAGAATTAATTTTGGAATTTAGTACTATTTTCCTCATACAGAAGGATAAAATAGTGTGTACTCAGTGCATTTTTGAATAATATTTAATAAGCACTTACTATGCTCCAGGCATAACAGAGCCTAAGAAGTAGGTACTGTTATTGCCATTTAATATTTTAATAAAAATATTAAATTAATATCACTACTCAACTGACTCCTTAAGGCATAAAACATCTTGCCCCAAACTTAAGAATTAGTTGGTTCTACCTAACCACAAAGAATTATAACCATTATGGTATGTATCACAGTAGGTGTTTACCACATTCTCTTTATTTAGTTATTTGCATTTTATATTAGAAAACAGAAGTTCAAAGAAGTTAATGTATTGTCCGCAGTATGATATTGCAAATAAATGCTGAGTTCAGGTTTGACTTAGAATGTTTGGAGTCTTTCCACAACTTTGTAAACAAACCATCCTAAGTCTAAAGGTGGGGTATAATTCTGCATCAGTATTCTAAAGTATATGTATGTAAGATAATAAAATCTCATCTTTATACAATAGTCAAATTCCCAGAGAGAAGACAGTAATAAAAGGAAAATCTAGTGTTCCATGAGGTACTTCCAATTCTGCTTTAATCAGGAGATATCAATCATGATGTTCCTACATATAATGAGGGGCTTACCTGGTTATGTTCTCTGATAGAGTACCTTCATGTGTCTTCATAATACTATTAGGACTGTGAAAATATAGATTTTAGAGTAATTCAAAGTGAAAATGGAGAGGTCAAGAGGGTCTTCTTAGAACATCCTCTTTGGGTTTTGGGTTTTTTTCACTTTCAAAGAAAAAGTTAAAAGTCAATTACTGGCCTTTCTAGAGCAGTTAAATAACAAATTTTAATTTTACATAACATCTCTAGACATACATGGGAAAACATATTTTTGGCTACATAATCAGCTAGGGCATTTTCACTAATTTGAAACGATTAAAGCCTAACAGCGTTTGAAAATGCTTTATAAATATTAATTAAATCTTCTTATATTTTTAGCAACTCATAAACACTACTTCTTGGTACAGTGAACTATACAATTTCGATGCAAAGAGGGCCACGTCACCATAGCCATAAGGAAGTGAAAAGGTGCACACATACCTACAATAGTGACTTCCTGGTATTTAGGCATCTGTAATCAGCTATGCAAAGTCAGCTAACACTTACTGAGCTCTCCTCTGTGCCAAGCATTTTGCTAAGTACTGCTTAAGAATTATTTCTTGTAACCCTGACAATCACCTTATGAGGCAGATGTTACCAATATCTCCATTTTACAAGTGGGGAATTCGAGGCCTCAAAGTTATCCGGCATGCCCCAGATCATCCCCTACTAAGTGGTAGGGCTGGGATTCAAACCCAGAGCATCATTATTAGCACCTGCATCAGCATAGGCATGATGGCAGAGACATCATTGCTTGCTGGAAAGATTCTCCACCCATTTAACTTTTTCTTTCCTCTCTCTGTTTTTATCCTCCTTCTCACCTCCCTTCTGGCTCAGTGTCAGTGAATCTTTTTTCTATCCATGCTTTTTTTTTTTTTTTTGATGACCCTAAAAGTTGCATTTCTTGCATCCTACTGGAGATTTTGATGGATCCCTCTCTTAAAACTCAAAACTAGGCAGATGGTAGAATCTACTGTTTATGTAGATCTGCCAGATACAATTCTTTTTCAGTTTACTTTCGGTAATTTTTATTATGAAGACTATGGGGTTTCTTTTTGTGTTTTTCCCAAATTAAGAAAAATTATGGTATAATATGGAATATGTCTTTTTCAAATTACATACCTTCAGTAATCCTATACACCAGTCTCCAACCCTCACCCTCCTTTGCCCCACTGGGGATTCTATTTTCTAGTCTGATTCTGTCCCCTTCTTTTTCCCCTTCCTTCTTTTTTCTTTCATAGTTTATCTTTCATTTCAAAAGATAAGTCACACATATGTGTACATATATATACACCTACCTGTATGCACATATATATACATGCATTTTAGTGACATTGTCACCGATACACTGACACTGAAATTCTTGATTTCACCCCACTTTGCTCCCCTTTCACACTTTTCCAACTCAGTAAATGGCACATTCACCCACCTCATTATTCAAGCCAAAACTTGAGAATATACCTAAACCTTTTTTCCCTTTCACCCACTGATCTGTCTTTAAGCGCGATTGATTCGACCTCCAAAATGTGTCTCCAATCTATTCACATTCCTCTATGTCTATTTCCACCACTTGAACCCACACCTCTATTGTCTCCCACCTATACACAATAAATAGCCTCGTAATGGGTCTCACATTTCTGCTGTTGTCCTGAATTATGCTCAGCGCAGCCAAGGTGATCTGTTAAAAATATGGATCACATCTCTTTCTCTTCTTTTGCATTAGTATAAAATGCAAAGTCACTGATACAGCATCTAATCTCTGCATGACCTAGCCTCTGCCTGCCTCTTAAACATCTCATTTCACTCTCCCCTTTGCTGATCACACTATTCACATTCACAAAATGCACTAAATCTCTTTCTATTTCAAGTGCTTCACAAATGCTCTTTCCCCAAACTGAAAAGCTCTTCCTACACTATGCCTTATTAACTTCTGGTCATCTTAGATGGAAGCTTCAATTGTATTTGCTCAGAAAAGCTCCCTGAAAGAGAAAATCTGGTCCTTATTATATTGTCCCCCCCTATTTTTCCAGTAAGACTCAAGCAATTTATAATTATATATTTATTTGTATGATTTTGAAACCAAACTCCCATGTCACACTCTGTGCTGCAAGCTCACTGAGTGGAATTGTGTCTGTTTTGTGCTCTGCTATCCCCCTAACACTTAGCACAGTGTCTGGCACAGCAGCAGCTCCAAACTATTAAGGAACTAAATAAACATAGAAATAAGATCTGCAGTTGAGCAGACAGATCCCTGTTTTGGGAACACATCATGGTTAAAGCTGTTCTTTACTCAGGTCTTAGTGGGTATATAAAACAGCTCCAGGAGTGAATGAATCTAGACATGGGCACAGATAACAGCAGACTAGAACTTTCTTTGTGTGAGCACTTTCATCTTAAATGATCTCAATGGTCAGTACGTTATTAATGCATTAGGTGACTGTTCTTCATGAAAACTGAATAATTCCTTTCAGAGATTATAGACTTCCTCTGCAATGGGAAACACTACTCTGAGCAGATGTTTCTTGAAATGCAGCCTATTATTCAAGGGGAAGCGGGGGGCGGGGGGAGTTCAAGGATTCTGGTTCTATTTATGACACTATCACTTGCATTTTCCACTGTGACCTTAAATAATCTGTAGAATCTCAGAGGTACATGAATACTTAGAATTTGATAGACAAGCCCTTATTCAACTCTATAATGATAAGGAACTCAAACCGCTGTCTTTATGAGTGTGTATCTTCTATACGTAGATTAGAATGTATGTTTCTGTCATAGATTAAAATATAAGCTAGCCCTGTGACAGTTAGCATGTAAAACCACCCCTATATGTGCACCAGCTTACTCCCTAATTGGCATTCAGAAGAATGGAGGCAAGTCAGCAGAAGCGAGGGGAGCCAGTCATCTCTATCCTGTGCATTTCAATGAGAACACCCAAATTTTCAGCACTTTGATTTGATAGCAAACATCCAGGAATGAATTAATTGTATACACAATTACTTCTGTAACATCATTTCAAAGAAAGCAAAGAAGTTGAAAAGGAAAAGTCTTTAAACTACTTGGCACAGTGTCAGCTCCTAAGGCTGCAGATTATATTTAGAGTAATTGACTTTTCAGACCTTAAAAAAGCAAGAAACGGGCAGAACCTGGAATCAAACTAAAATTTGGAGCTCTATGAAACACAAATGGGATTGCTCTGGGGCTTCTGCTTATCCAGTACATCTTTCTCTTAAAAAAAAAAGTTTTTGATGTTGTAATTGGTTTTTCTACTTGGGAGAATGGCACATTATTCAGCTTTTGATATTCCTAGGGCAAGGAGAATACTACTTTTGTCTTCTCAATACATATGGCACATTTCCGTTTGTCCTTTTACATAGGTTGTCCTAATTATTGTTATTTTGTAGTTGGTATACAGAGACTGAGAGACCAGATGAAGACTAAAGTATATTGGCAGATTTGGGGTAGGAAGTAGACTCTGAGGCATTATATGATCATAACACATATTCACTCACTGAAGGTTATATATTCATGGAATTTCTGCTAGGTTCTAGGCATTATCCTGGATGCTGGAGGCTCAAAGGTGAATAAGATACCATCCATCCTTTTCCTCAAACAGTTCAATGACATGTAAATGAAGTCATTCCTATGCATTATGATGTATATAGGCTAAAGGCTCTCAGTTTCTCTAGTGTTCCTAAACTCAAAGTAACTAAAATCAGACTAGAGTAAGAGGTAGTGATAGAAGCAAGCATGATCTTACACTGTCCCTTCTGCACAAGGTGCATATACACAGGAATGTTCTCCACTCATACTTTGTTTCATTAATTCCTGATATTTGTAAGAAGCTATTTTTGAGAAACTTGCCATTACCTTCTCAAGGGTCCACTTTCAAATCTAGCTTATAACTATTCTCTACAGAGCTCAGAATACATATATAATTCACTCCCTTTGTAGGATTCATAGAGTTGGCAGCCTTAAGCCATTCCAAGCCTTGGAACATAGAGCAAGATCTTTATCTCACAAGACCTCAGCCTCTTGCTTGTCTT